ATCATCATCATCATCATTGTCATCATCATCAGCAGCAGCATCAGCATCAGCATCATCAGCATCAGCATCATCACCACCATCTTCATCACCATTACCATCGCAGTCACTGTTGTCATCATCATCGTCATCACCACCACCACAACCATCGTCATCATCATCATCAGCAGCACCAGCAACAACACCATAACCATGACCAGCGTCGTAATCGTCATCACCACCGTCGTCAGGGTCTTCGTCATGGTCGTTGTCGTCACCCACGTCATTATCGCCACCACCATCACCATCATCATCGCCTCTCGCCTCTTCGTGTTGCAGTTTTTACCGGGAATGAGACCACTATGACCCAAGTACAAATGTATCCCAAATCTCCTGGACATCGTTTCTGGATAAGGCTGGTGGGGATATCTTTTTTTGGTCGCGGCTCCAAGGAAATGCCCAGGGAGCGGTCACAACGTCCGGGGCGCGGTACATTGTAAATTTGCGAATCCAGCCGTCACTGTCGACAGCCGACCGCACCTGCAAGCATGCTCGCAGTTGCACATGCACAGTGCAAAATAAACTAAATTCGCAGACGACGCACATAGGCGCAGCAGCGAACCGTAAGGCGCGAGCTACAAGTGCGAAGACAGCAGAGAGAGTCGCCATTCCGGCGCCAAACTCAAGCAAGTCGGGCGAAGTGAGCGAGCGACCAGCAGCTGGTGGGGATATGCGAAGCGTCGAGGGTTCCCTTTCCTTCTGCTCGCCCTCCTCCTCCTCTTCCTCCTCCTCCCACCTTATCTTCCGTTTCCTTGTCAATCCTTCTCTTCCTCTGAAGGATAACGGCTGCCCCCCTCCGTGTTCCACTGCATGCTACTACACGTCCCTGATCAGGGCAGCTCGCCTGGGCACCGTTTTCGGATGGGCCCGTTGGGGGATGCGCAGAGCGTCAAGCGCCACGACTTAGCGACACCACGCCCTCGCCTGACCGCCCTAGCGTCCTCCACGACCTGCTCCTCAACATCCTCGTCGTCCTCGTCGTCGCCGTCTTCAGGGTCGGCGGCACCGGCCGCAAGGCCTTCGCAACATTAAAAACATGCTCTTCAACATCAAATGCCAGAATTCTTCGCGCGCGCAATCGCAAAGCATGGCCAAGTTTTCTCGCCACAGTGCCACTTGAGACCATGTGGGCCAACCACGCGCATCTCGAACACAGTCGCCCGACATCACGCGCCCACCAACTCTGTCTAACAATGCCATGCGGGCCACACGCGCGTGTCCACCGCGCGCACGTCAAACTCGCTCCGACGCCAGTGGTTTTCTGAACATGTCAGCACAAAGGTGCCAACCAGCGTACGGAATCCAATTGATTTTAACGAAGAACACGTCAGGATGCTCGATTTCTGCGGGCGCGCACCTTCTCATCACCCTTATTAGCACAATTGTTATCATCATCGTCGGCACTCGTCAGCGTCATTAATTGCCATCGTCATCATCCTCGTCGTCAGAATCATCCTAATCATCATCAGCAGCAGCAGCATCGTCGGGATCATCACCGCCGCCGTCAGTCGCCATCGTCGACGTCGTCGCATGCGTCATGCCGCGGGCACCCAATCAACATCATCACCAGCACACCCGCACTATCGTCATGATCATCATCATCGCCAGTTTCGTCGTTGCCTCGTCGTTATCATCACCATCAGCTTCATCACCATCACCATCATCATCGTCGGCATCGTCCTCACCGTCGTCATCAACATCACCAGCGTAATTGTCATCGTCGTTTTCATCGATCAGTTTGGCTTCGCCAACACATTGCGGATGGGTGGGTGGAATGTCTGCACGGGCAGTGGAGTTGACGACCTCAATTTCAGCAAGGGGAGTTGTACATTCATGGACTGTATGGCGTCACTGCTTGGGGTCCATACATGTCCATACATTGGCATCCTTTTCTGTGCTTGCGCTGGTATCTGGAAGCTTTCGACATGTTTTCGAAGGTTGTCAAGTGCTGGGGGAATTCGACAAGGGGCAGTGGGGCGGGAGGGGGAAGGAGGTGTAGGAGAGGATGAGGATGGTTTTCGGACGCTTGACAACATGACAGCATGAAATCAGCGATTCCTACGGGTTCTGTGGGGCTCTGGGGGGGAGGAGAAGCAGCAGCAGCAGCAGGGAAAGGAGGAGAAAAGAGGGAGGAGAAAGAGGGCCGTGGGGCCACGCACGCTGTCGGGCGTCGTCGTCGCCAGGTGAGGTCGTCGTCGCCAGGTGAGGTCGTCGACGTCGTCGTCGTGGGCATCAGCGTCCTCGTGAAGGATCATCGGCGACATCGTTAAGGTGGAGAAGGAGCGTCTGCGGATGCGGTGCAACGATGGCAACAGCGCGCGACCACGAAGCCGCCATCGGAGGGCCTCCAAACCGTGTAGTCACAGACCGTCCGATGACCTCGGACTCCCGAAAGACCTGACCAAACGGTCTGTAACTCGATGGCTTTGGGATCCGTGAGTCCCCAGGCTCTCGAGGCGTCATCGGAGAACCACCACTCACCGTAAAAAGAAACCCTTTGACTCACCCAACAGTGTGGCCACCTGACCGTTTTGGTCGGGGCCTCCGATGCTACTGTACTCTCCTCTTCCTCCCTCACCAGCAGCGGTGACGAGGCCGACGGCAACCTCAACGGCAGCGGTAGCGACGATGGCCGACGACGACAAATGCCCAGCGCCACGAGTAACCTCATCGGCCGGCTTCGCAACCTCCACGGCAGCGGTAGCGACGATGGCCGACAACGACAAATGCCCAGCGCCACGAGTAATCTCATCGGCCGGCTTCGAGCCTCGGGGGTATACAAAAACAATCTGGGATGAAAACAAGCCTTGTAGAGAGCTCCAGGGGGCCCACGTCGCCGACAAATCGTGACTTCCGATGTCTGGGTAGGGATCGCGGCTGCATCGCCCTGCTTGCAGTGGCGCTCGCAGCGCAGCCGCGATCTAGACAGCTCATCGACTCGGACTCAGGGAAACTCCCTGCGGGGATGATACTCGGCATCGTGAGGCGACCGTGACCTCGACCGCGATCGTGGGCGCCATGCTTCCGCCAGCGGACGGCCATGGTGGTGACGGGCGTCAGCGGTCGAAGATGTGGCTTGGCTGTGCTGAGTGAGAGCTCCGGCTGCGCTTTTGAACGCGCGCGCCCAGCGCCCCAGGCGAGTTCGGGCTTGGCACCTCGCGGATAAGACAGAAAGATCCCCCCCATCCACGGATCCCCCCCCCACGGACTCCTCGCGACTCTTTCCACGGATCCCCCCCCATCCTCCTCCACCATCCTCCTCCTCCAAAACTCCATCCATCCATCCATCCATCCATCCATCCGTCCGTCCATCCATCCATCCATCCATCCATCCATCCATCCCTCCCTCCCTCCCTCCCTCCCTCCTCCCTCCCTCCCTCCCTCCTCCTCCTCCTCCTCCTCCTCCTCCTCCTCCTCCTCCTCCTCCTCCTCCTCCTCCTCCTCCCAGGCCAGTTCGCAAAACAAAAGACGGCATAAACCCAGACCCCCGACGTCATGATTTTTTCATGACGTCGACCCCCCGAGGTCTCGACCCATTCCCCGGGACCGGTTTTTCGTCCTGAGTCGTTTTTTGACGGTCCCGAGGGCCGGTAAGGGCTCCAAAGGCCAAAAATAGCGAAAAACCTCCCGTCGTGATTTTTTCATAACTCGAGGGGGTCTGGGAACAGAAATGCTCGGGGCTCCGCGCGGCTTTCTCGGATCTGCGCCGTGCCCCCTCCCGGGCGCCCGGGGCGTCGAGGCGGGGCGACGCCGGAGGCGCCGCCAGGGGGCCCAGCGCCGGTCCAAGATCGGTCCGCGCGGAGCCCCGAGAATCACCTTTCTCGAAGGGGCCCGGGGACACACAAACAAATACACACAAATAAAAAGATTCCCCCCAAGAGACCGTCACGAGAGCTCAGGAGGCCCCCTGGAGGCCTCCGGAGTTCTCCAATTGGAGAACTCCGGAGGCCTCTTACTAGGCCTCTTGGCGCCTCTTTCTAGGCCTCTTAAGAGGCCTAGAAAGAGGCGCCAAGAGGCCCCAAACGGCCCTACCGAGGCTCCAAGAGGCCACGAACGCGCAAGCAAACGCCTGCGATGGCACAATACGGGCCGGCGGAATGAGCGAAGCGATTATAAAAAGATTCCCCAGATTTCCCAATAGTTTCTGGGCTCTTGTCTTCCCCCCGACTTCCCATACGTTCCCATATTTCCTAGAGCATCGGCGATTCACTGCGTCTCTGTGTGTTTTTGTTCCCCTCCTGATTTGTGCAGTGTTTCGCCCTCGAGCCTCACAGGATGGCGTCCGGCTGGTGCCAGCCCTTGTTCTTGTACTGCACGCGGCGCTCTTGCTCCGGGATGGATCGGGTCGGGCGAAAGGGGGGGATAGCAAAGGGGGGGGTTGAGAATCAGCTCACGCAACTGATTTTCCCGGCGCCTCCCATGTATCGAGGAATGGGCCCCTCGGTGAGGCCGAGATAAGCTGCATGCAGCAGATTTCGTAACCCCCCCTTTCTAGGGGGAAAACAAACCTACCTCGCTTTTGACCACCCTCGCTTCCAAGAGATGCCAAACGATGCCAGATTGCGGCCTGTACTGGTCAGGCCGCCTGACGAGGAGGCGCGTGGTATGGCTTGGTTTTGCCTGGAAGCGAAAGCGGGGTAGGTAATTCACGCTCTGACTTTCCCAATCCCCCCATCGGTCGGAAGAAGTACGTAGAAACATGAAAGAGGAAGGCGTTGAAAGTAGATTGGGTGTCCGCTCGCCCCCTAAAAGGACGGAAGAGGTGAAGCCATTCGATCATTGAAGTAGGAAGGCGCTGAAAGTAGATTGGAATCTGGGAATCCAAATATACCTACTTTCAACGACCGATGGGTAACCCCCCCTTTCCCAATCCCCCCCTTTCGCCCGGCCCGAGGGCTGGAGCCGAGCAGCGCCATCTCGCCCTCGGCGAGCCGCCAGCCGAACACGTCCATGTTCTCGGCCACGCGCGGAGGGCCCAGGCGGCGGCACCCGTGCGGGCGCGCTCGGAGAGCCCAGGTCGCGAGCGACAGTCGTCGTCGTCGTCGTCGTCGTCGTCGTCGTCGTCGTCGTCGTCGTCGTCCGTCGTCGTCGTCGTCGTCGTCGTCGTCGTCGTCGTCGTCGTCGTCGTCGTCGTCGTCGTCGTCGTCGTCGTCGTCGTCCGTCGTCGTCGTCGTCGTCGTCGTCGTCGTCGTCGTCGTCGTCGTCGTCGTCGTCGTCGTCGTCGTCGTCGTCGTCGTCGTCGTCGTCCGTCTCCGTCGTCGTCGTCGTCGTCGCCGTCGTCGTCGTCGTCCGTCGTCGTCGTCGTCGTCGTCGTCGTCGTCGTCGTCGTCGTCGTCCGTCGTCGTCGTCGTCGTCGTCGTCGTCGTCGTCGTCGTCGTCGTCGTCGTCGTCGTCGTCGTCGTCGTCGTCGTCGTCGTCGTCGTCGTCGTCGTCCGTCCGTCGTCGTCGTCGTCGTCGTCGTCGTCGTCGTCGTCGTCGTCGTCGTCGTCGCCGTCGTCGTCGTCGTCGTCGTCGTCGTCGTCGTCGTCGTCGTCGTCGTCGTCGTCGTCGCCGTCGTCGTCCGTGGTCCTCACGTTCCTCGCGTGCTGTTCGGGGAGCACGTCCCTCGGAGGGCTGCTCGCCCTGGCGGCGCGGCGGAGCGCCTTGCCTCCGAGACCCGGGAGGGCGGGCTCGGGCGCTGCCAGAAGTGCCCCCTGGCCCACGGGCGCCCCCAGGATTTCCGGGGAGGCACCCCCCGGCCTCCAGGGCACCCCCCTCGAGGCCCCGAGGGCCCCGAGGGGGCTCCAGGGTGGGGCGAAGAGCTGGGGGCACCTGGTGCCAGGGGGCGCCGTCCGCCGGGCGGGGCGGCGCTCCAGCGCTGGCTCCCAGGGGCCCATGCCTGCTTGCCTTCAGGGTGCCCTGGGCTTCTTGGGTTTCGGAGGAGGAGGAGGAGGAGGAGGAGGAGGAGGAGGAGGATGGATGGATGGATGGATGGATGGATGGATGGATGGATGGATGGATGGATGGATGGACGACATTCTCATATGCATTATTGTTTGGTTGCTGGCAGAAAACCCGGGCCTGGCAGCTGATGTGGCTGACCGCCATGTCCATGTGTTCGAATCGACATACAATCTGCTGGGTCGTTTGAAGATTGAGGACGAATCGACTTTCGCAGGCTTTCGTGTCGTTATTCGGGAAGGTCGTCTTCTGATCACGCACGTGTTGAATGTAAATGACCATGAGCTGTGCACGCGTGGTGATGTAGTCCGCCCTAGGTTCCAGCATTTTCTGTCCAATGCACCTATAGCACGCAAGGCCGCTCTGGTACGCTCTCAATTCATCGCGTGTGTAGACAGGTACATGTATGTAGATTTTAGCTTGCTTGCACATGACACTAGCACACTGTATGCTGAGTTCCGTGCCCTGCAATACCCCAATGTTTTCCTGAATCGAATTCTGCACAGGTTTCTCCGGGAACATCCGTACTTAGGTCACTCATTCTCGCATGTCTTGCTGCACGTCAGTCGTCCCGGGTACCCCGATAGTGAAGCCGCCAATTCTTCCGCCTCCCCCGCTAGAGCTGGAGACGAGCCGGCTGATTTCGAGGGTGCTCAGGGTCGATTGCTCCGTGCTTGTTCTATACGGCGAGAGTAAAGACTGTGACCACCGTTGCTCTTCTACCCATTTTTGTCTCTTGTCTGTCTTCTTCCTTCCCGTCCCCGCCCCCTCTTGCATCGGTGCGCTTGTAATCATATTGGCTCAGGGGCAGTCGCAGTTGGAAGTCCCAGGAAAAATACTTGCTGAGCTCTTCTCTCAGCCCAGCACGGCGATCGGACCTCTCCGCTCCCGTGCAGATCCGTATATCGCACACTCTTTCTTTCATACTTTCAGTTCGTTTGTATCTCCATCCTGTTCAATATTGTTTCGATTTCTTCTTGCTGGTTCTTACTGCAGTCCGGCATCACAGAGCAGATGGCGGCTCGCAATCCCTTCGTGCAGGCGCAGCAGTGGGCCGACCAATCCTCTGGGAAGGGCAAAGGGTATATGCAACAGCAGCCTGCGCCGGTCTTCATCGGAGGAGGAAAAGGTGCTAGTTGGTCTTCTCCGTCATGGGAGGCAGCCATGCGCGCAATTCCTCGTGATGTCGTCGACCTCCGGGGTGTCACCGAGAACTCCGACGGCAGCCGTCTCCGCTTCGCCGATGATCCGAACGTGGAGATTACGACGATTGCTACCAATGACATCGGCGCCACGGATGCGCTGCAGAAGGAGAAGATCATGGTTACATTTCTCAAGGCCAGTGACGACTTCAAGGTGGCCCAAGAAAGGGCGCGCGAGTTGCGCAGCCTTGTGCCGTCATATTTGTCGGATGAGCAATGGCAGCAATGGGTCGCCGGAGTTAAGCTCGTCAACTCCACCCTCAGGGTCCCAGAGAAAGACTTCGTCGCGCCACATTTGCGCCCATCCACCCCGGATCTGAAGTCGCTCCTACAGGGTGCTGCGTCCGGCTCCGACTTGTCGATGGGCACGTTGTTGAGCTTGCTGCAGAACCAGCTTAACGTGTCTGGCAGCGCTTCGAGCCAGCCGCAGGCAGCCAAGATGGAATCGCCACGTCCGGCTTCATCTGTGCTGGGGTTCGAATTCAAGGCCCAGTTGGGGGACAACGAGGTCGGCGGGAAGGTTGTGAGCATGGAGCTGCAGGGCACCATCCCCATGTATAAGGTGAAGTGGGACAACGGGACGAAGACCCTCCTGACCCAGGAACAGCTCTTCCCGTACATGGAGTCGGCCAAGATATCCCCCGAGAAGAAGCGGGCGAGACCGGATGCGCCAGCAGCGCCGGCGGATTTGGCTGCTTGGGAAGCTGCTGCGAAAATGACGGTGGATAGCCATCCCACTAAGAAGTGAAGGAGCAATCACGATATGGGCTCCGTCGGTAACTTCTGGCAAGTACATCTCGGTAACCGGCCAGATGTTGCAAAGGCGGCTTCCTGTCTTCATTTGGACTTGTGTCGCGGATGTGGTTGGCAAGGCAACTCTTCGTGTTGCTGCGACTCAGACTTCGCCGGTCTGTCCAACTCGTGGGCAATGAGTTCTGCAGACACGTCATGTTGTTCGCACGCGTGTACTCATGCTGCTATATTACGATTGGTGCGCAGTTTCCTCAGAGCTTCTCATGCTGCCGTTCGCCGGCCGCCGGGGTACCAGAGTGTCCAGGCTTTACATAACATCGACAAGCATATCAAAGTGCTGGTAGAGAATTTAGGCGTGCGCAGGTATGTGGGCACTCATTGTTCAACCTGCCGGTGGGACAGATTACATTGCTGCTGCAATTCTTCATCGCCGTCCTGCAACCTCAATTCTCGCTCCTGTTCCTACTTCCTCATCATCACCAATGACATCCGCACCATCATCTGCCTGCGCGTCCTGCAGATCAGCGATTTTGCGTGGCACCGGAAATTACACCAGTTCTTGTTGAGGTCAACAGAGATGGTGTCGGCAAGTAGGCGCGGCTACAACTCCGAGGGCCAGATTGTCTACATATGGTTCTCGGCGCACCACACGTACACATACATCGGGAAGTCCGTGCGGGGTCTGGGGGTACGCACCGTTGAGCACTATACGCAGATCCTGGGGCAGAAGGGGTACAAGAAAGATTTACCTGCTTATGATGTTATGCGTCGTCTTGGTTGGTCGTCGTTTATTGTGTGTCCTGTTGTATGTCTACAGCGCTCTAACGATCTAGAACTTCAATATGTTGAACGACAATTATGCAGCACATTGAACCCCAAGCTCAACACGCCATGGGTGTATAAGTATACATGTAAAGCGCCTGTGCACAAACATTGTCATAGTCATGTACTTCGCAGTGTACACACTCGCCCTCGTGCCGCAGAGGACTTGGGTTGCCAGCCAGGCCAGCTTGCTCAGCATTGCGCGCACGGCCGGATCCACCTGGGTATTCTTGCTCTCAGATTGGGGGACACGCGGGCGAAAGGCAAGAACGTCGCAAAATGTGTGCAGAAGCTATACGACCGTTCACCGGGCCTCATTCACAGGCTACACAACGTCATCGATTCGTTCTTGCACGGCATCCCTAACTTCGTGGCGAAATCACGCATTTCAGAAGTTTTAACGCAGACCGCGGCTCCATCCACCACTGTTCTCCTCCGTTTTCCTCTTCTTCCTGGAGTGGATGTTGAACGTCTGATGGTAGATAGCGTACGAGAAGATATTGCGTGTGCTCGGCCTCCTAAAGCTCGTCTTACTCTGCTTACTAAGCCTATCAAGTCTCCTACTATTAAGTCTTGTATGGTTAACGTCAAATGGTGGGCAAAACGTATTTCAGAGTATGATTTTCCATGCACGTGTGGGTCGTTGCGCAGTATGTTGGGGGAGGACGAGGGGAACGTTGGGAAGGCACACTATTGTATTCGGTCTAGTTCTAGCTCGTTCGCACAAGCCTTTCCTCGCACATTCTCTGTGGAAAGCGGCCTGGTCTGGAGCCGGCAGAGTTTCTTACGTCAGTGTTCTGCTTCCTTCCAACACCTCGCAGACCGGGTACGCGCCATCATTCGCGGGCCGTTCGTCTTGGAAATGCACAAGTTCTGGGCGACCATCAATAGTATATTTTCTTCGCAATCGCACTTCCGAGGCACGGGGGCCCTGGAAGGGGACATGATGCGGTGGCGATCAATGCTGAGCGACATTGCAGTGATTGGCCCAGTCGACAAAAACAAATCGATCATATCATTTTGTTGTCCCCGTGGGTGGCAGAATCGTTGCTTCAATTTAGCAATACTTCATGGCAATGCGGTCTTCGACTATCCCGGGGTGCGTGCATTCGAGAAGGCCCTCGACGCGCTGCAGTCAAACACAGCCTATTCCGGAGTACGGGTCATTCCTCCTGACCGGCATGTTTTCGGAGTTTTTCAAGGGTGGGTAAAAGAGAGCGGCATTCACACCAAAATGAGACCGTTGG